AAAAAAGTTTTTCTGTCAAAAAAATAAAATTAATTGATATTGTACAACGTAACCTGAAAACTAGGATAATTAGAATGGCGGCCATTTTGATGACGTCATTTGATAATGTTGCCATGGAGGAAATTTTGGTAATTTTTGTTTTTGAGGTATTCTGTACCCATACTTCAATAAAAAATAAAAATTAGCTGGTAGTACTCCACTTGCCACCCCACCTCTAAATGCTGGTCTAATCTGCAGGCCTAAAACGTCCCATGGTTGTTTTGTTTACTAGAAGGACATGTCTTTTGGCAGCATTGCACAAAAAAGTAGCAAATATTGTTACTGAAGCACAGAATTTGCATGAATTTTTCTCCCCGGCCATTCACGCAAACTGCAAACGAAGTATTTTACCTCATCCATAGTTGTTGACACTTTGCAACCGTCTTGATAGATGTATTGTGACGTATTTTGACCCAGGATTCTGACCTTGCATTCTGGCTAAATTTACTACTGCCCTTTCATACCAGCTCAATTTCCTTTAATTATTACCTTCAAATTTCATTTTATTTAAAACAGTCACTTTAGTTGTCACTTTTCTAAAATTATTTTACAGATCAAAAGAATTTTCACTCCCATCATCTCCCATGGTACTTCCACAGACACAGTGGCGATCGACAACATATCTACAAATAACCTCGCTCTCAGGAGCTGAGGAATAACTGAAAGCTGCTTGCAACAAATGTCCTATGAAGACTTCATCCAGTATATCAATAATGAAATTGATCACATAAGTAGAATGGGTGTTATTCAATTATTAGTTCCCGACGATGAGAACCAAAAGGTTGATGTGCCACCAAATAATCGCTTTAAAAAGCTTATCACTGGCAACACAGGATCACACGTCCGGGGAGGGTTGCCGCCGTACACAAGTAGTTTTTGTCAAATTTCCCGTTCCTGAATGCGCGGTCGCAATGTTTTATAATATTCGACATAGTCTATAACATTATCAGTTTCCTGGCAGGATACTCTTTGCCGATATTATAAGTTGTCTGCTTTGAAACATCATTTCGATCTCTAATCTCAACAAATGACAGTCCACGAAAATACAAATCGACAACTCTTCTTCTCACTTTAACTGTTTTTTTGACTCCTTGCTTCTCTGTCGTAGACAATCGTTGCATTGTTCTCATGCATTAAATACACGAATGAATCCATGGGCAGAATCACTTAGTTCCAGTGAATCTACATGATACAAGTAACCTGTAGAATGCTGTGTGGGTAATATTTTTTTATATTGATTTTTGTTGCATTTGCAGCAAATAGTTACCAAACAATGAGAAATCTATAGGATTGAATATACCCCACAGCTGGCTTCACATGCATAGTTCAAGCCTGCCTAACCGGTGCACACACCAGGATTTAGTTACAGCACCTAGGCGGTATGTGGTTACAGCTTAATGTTCGAGTAATCGCAAGAAATTGACATGACAATAGAAATTCATTAAAGACTGGCACTCCCATGCAATTAACAGCGAGTGAAATTTCTGGGATTGAAACATATATTTTGAAGTCACTGATGTAGGCAACGAAT